ATAAGTGGATATTAGGTATAAACTAAAGGATAAGTAGGCAAGAATCCACAGCCCCGGAACAGCTAAGTAACAAGGAGGGCCGTCAGAGGGATGCATGCATTGCTTTGGGAAATAGAAGAAATATCTTGGGTAAACTAGAAGTGGGGTGGGGTGAGGTGGGGAAGAGTGTGTGGGAGGAGTCAGGTTGGGCAGGTCGGGCAGGTTGGGCAGGTTGAGGATGGACACAAGGGGAGATTAGTGAAAGAGGTGTCTTGTTGGGAGTCAGAATTTCGGGGTTAGGGAGAAACCGGTGCCAGGGGAACCCCCAGAAATCCACAAGGATGACCCCAACTAAGACTCCTACTAATCGTGGAGAGGGTGCCTGAAGGAGGCAATGCGATCAGATTGGTGACCACCCTAATTGTCATCAGAGAGCCTTCATCCAGTAACTGATAAAGCAGATGCAAAGATCCAGGGCCAAGCTCTGGGCCAAGCTCTGGAAGCCCTGTTGAAGAGAGCAAAGAGGGATTTTAAGAGCCAGGGGCATCAAGGTCATAATGAGAGACATCTGACCTGAGCTTATAGACTCTGAACTAACAGCTAGGGAGCCTGCATGGGGCGCACCTAGGCCCTCTGCATGTATGTGGCAATTGGGTAGCTTGGTCTGTTTATGGGGTTCCTACCAGTGGGATCAGGACTTATCCCTGGTACTTGAGCTGGCTTTTAGAAACCTATTCCCCATGTTGGATTGCCTTGTCCAGCCTTGGTGCAGGGGGAGGAGCTTTGTCCTGACTCAACTTGATGTGCCTTCTTTGTTGACACCCCTGGGAGGCCTGCCCCTTTCTGAAGGAGAGACAGAGGAAGAGTGGATGGGGAGGGAGTACATTGAGGTGGGGGGAAGGAGGGAAAACTGTGGTTGGTATGTGAAGCAAACAAACAAAAATTTAATAGCTGGAGAGATGGCTCAGAGGTTAAGAGCATTGCCTGCTCTACCAAAGGTCCTGAGTTCAATTCCCAGCAACCACATGGTGGCTCACAGCCATCTGTAATGGGGTCTGGTGCCCTCTTTTGGCCTGTAGGCATAGACACAGACAGAATATTATATACATAATAAANCTGTAGGCATAGACACAGACAGAATATTATATACATAATAAATAAATATTTTAAAAAATTTAATTAATAAAAAAGGCAGTCAAAAAATAGGTTAATTAAGATAGATGTGTTTGCCCTGGGGGCTGGCAAACTTGCAGAGGAGAAAGAATAATAAACACTCCCATGTAGGTAAGCGCAACCCTGATAATTTGTCATCAGAGCTGTAGGAGAAAAGCACAAAAGAAGCAACACATTGCTTGGAGTCTGAACGCTTGGCTTGAATGGAGCACCAAATTTCTGTGGGATGAAGGTATAAGAAAGTCACTTAAAGAAGGTAGCATTTTTTTTAATGAGGCATAGAGAATATAAAATCTCTAGAGTAGGCTTTCTAAGCAGAGCAGCACTTCCTCTGTGACTGGAGCCTGAAGATAAGGGGGGTTTCTTGAGAAAAGTCTACAGAACCACGGGAAGCAGGACCCTGGGGCTGTGGCAGTGAGTGGCATTTTAAGTGCCAGGGGAAGCATTGGAAATGTAAGCAAAGGAGTGACATTAGTTCATTTGAGGTGGCCGCTTCCGTCTGCTCATCAAAAGTTGTCTCTGCTCCCTGGGCTGAATGCCAGGTTATGTTTTCTGGCTCTCTTCACAGTTGGCGCTGATCCAGGTAACTCTATCCTGCCTAACCCATGACTAGTGTGACTTGACCATCAATCTAGGCTCTATGGTACTTTATGGTACTCTATGGTATTCTATGTGACTCTGGTACACACATCCCTTCTAGAAGGCATGAACTGCCATAAAGAAAACCTGGTCTTTTGAGCCTTTCCATGGTTAGGCCATTCCTTGTTTGTCCAAATGAACATGGTTATTATCTTTGAAAGCAGTTTTGCCTGCTGTGCTATGTGAAATGGAGATGCTGTAAATAACAGTAGTGGCCAAGTTGAAGGTTCATTGTGATGTGTGCTAGGGTGATTTCCACAGAAATAGATATTATATAATTTGGATTAAAAAGTCATTAGTCTCTGATATTACCTGGATAAACATTCTCACAGCAAACTCTATGATCTTTTAACTCTTAGAATCTTTCTGCCCCCCTCTTCAATTGAACCTTAGGTGTGGTAATGTTTTGTACATATATCCATTGGGATTGGGCTCCACAACTCTGCATTTTGTTTGGTTGTGACTTTGTGTAATTGTTTCAGTCTGTTGCAAAGAGAAATCTTAATGAGTGATGAGGACTATGTATATGTGGTGTGTGTGTGTGTGTGTGTATAACAAGTAATGAAAAAGGGCTATAAATTTGAAAGCTAGCAAGGAGGGGCATATGGATGGGTTTGTAGGGACAAAAGAGAAGGGGGAAATGATGTAATTATATTATGATCTTGAAAATAAAAGAAACTAAAAAAAAATTAGCCTGCAAAGTGGTTTTGCTTTGTCCAGTGAGATGATGAAAGGGGCAGTGTGCTAATTTGACTCCATGCTCATCAACCATGTTGCTGCATCTTCTGTAACAAACCTCTTTGATCTCTGCAGACCTGTGTGTTCTGATTTGCTAGACTGAATCACCCAGAGGGTAAACGAATCATGTCTTCAGCAATTAATTTTCTGTGGGTGTTTAAAATAGTTCTTAAGGTGGTAATACTGTATTTAAATTAATGAATGGTAAGGCTCACGTTTCCTGCCCATCAATATTAAAGGTCTTGTGTGCTAGTATTTGTTCTGTATTATGATGTTGTACCAAATCCCTAAGGTCCAAGCCTTTATACAGGAATGGGGTTTATTTAGCTCATGATTCTGGTGGCTAGGATCTAGTCCAAACAACAGGAGCCTAGTGCTTGGCAAGGTCCTCTGTATGCCCCCACATTACAGAGAAGCAGAAGGGGAAATAGCCCAGTGCAAAATGCACCAAAGCACGTGGTGCATCACTTGGTAACACACCGCTCTGTTCAGAACTAACCTGATTCTTCAGGGTCCTCGTTGATCTCTTCTGAAGGTGATGCAGTCAACCTGGTGGCTTCTGGTAGACTTTACCTCTTAATGCAGCCACCTGTCAGTACTGATCCATGTGATCTAACTTCTGGCACAAGGGTATGTGGCAAACACATTCAGACCATACCTAAACCTCCGATCCTGCCCCTTGCCCCGCTCCTGAGACTGTCCCAACCTCACTTCAATGCACTTTGCTTTCTAAGGGAGATGTTCAGCTTGAAGTCTGGTTTTATCTGCCTCCTTACTGGGGGAAAATAGCATTGTGGCACCTGGTATTTGGACAGCTGCCTTCAATATGTAGAAAAATGTTTTCAAGAATCACGTGATCTCATTCCCATCATTGCCTTCCTCGTTATGTTCAAGTGGCTCAAGAGTCACTGCTCAGCGCTCCCAGTCCTCACCTGCCTCCTGGCTTCCGCCATGGCCTCCTCTGGGAGAACCATGAGGATCTGTGAAAAGTCTCACAGAAATGATTTCTGTCACTCAGACGAGCCACGGAAGTGTCAGTGAGAGAGAATATTTCTCTCCCCAGTGAACTGCAGTGGACACTGAGATACTTGAAGGTTGAAGGTGATGAGAATAAATGACAATTGTGTGCCCAGCACCAAACAGGACCTTGGCACCGCCCGTTCTCAGGCTCCTATAGGGATCATCATGAAAGAGGGCGCCAGAAGGAATATATGTGCCAGAAAACCAGGAGATGGGTTGGAAACTTAAGGCTGTCTTGCCTTCATAGCAGCTATGGTTACTGGCAGTGGGCGGCACAAAACAGCCGATCGCCCTTCGATAGCCAACTGGGAACCGTTCCCTCATCTGTGTTTCCCTTCGGAATTATTGGTCACTGATGGATTCTAAAGGTAGTACAATCATTGTTTTCGGTTGTGTACTCACTGAGGCACCAAATGGATAGTTAGATGGTCCTGGTTAGACTCACTGAGCCTCAAAAAAAAAAAAAAAAAAAAGAAAAGAAAAAGTGATACAAGAATGTGGGACTTATGGGGGTGCAATACTGGTAGAAGGGAGATGAGAGAAGTTGATATTTTGTTGTTGTTCTTGTTTTGAGACAGGGTCTCTCTATGTAGCCCTGACTGTGCTAGAACTCACTATGTAGACCAGGCTGCTAACTGCAGATGATGTTAATGACAAAAATTGGACATTTTACCCAAGGATGTGCATTCACTCTCCAGATCCACAAACACTGGAAATATGGGAGTTTTTACCAAAGCCAGTTAAAGATAAAGTTGGCCTCTATGATGGAGCCCACATCTCTCATCCTGTAATATCCATGGGAAGATGAAAATGGGTTTCCCAAGTAATATAGTGTACTCCATAATAGATTTGTAATAGTTGTTATGAGAAATCAGGAATATTGTTGAGTTCCTGTGTCTAATAAGATTCTTTTGCTAAGAAGACACCATGTAGAATGTACCCTTTTTGTACTCTGATGAAACAAGTATGTCATGTATTTTAATCTTATGCTGCATAAGCTTGGTATTTTCTTCCGCATATGGACTTTTCATTTCTACCATATGGTTTCTAGAAAAGTTTTAGTGTGTGTGTGTGTGTGTGTGTGTACGCATGTATGTGCATGCAGGCACACACATGCTCCTGAAGATGAGGAAACGGCTTTTGACCCCCTGGAACTGGAATTATACAAGGGGCTCTGAACCACCATGGAGGAGCTGAGTCCACAGCTGGCACCCTGCTAGGGTCAGTAACCGATCTTAGTTGCTGAGCCATCTCTCCAGCCCTCATATGAATTTCTTAGGTTATATATGGATTACTGATATACACGATTGACGTAACTGCTTTAAATTTATAATCAAATGAAGGGAGAAAAAATGTCTTCATGATTTGCGTTCTCACCATTTAAAAGGGTGTACTTGTGAGTTGAGAATGATCTTTATTTTTAAAATGAGCATATTTTATGCTTTCTTTAGGCTGGAATGATAAAAAGTGATAATGAAGAGTATTTCATTGAACCTTTGGAAAGGGGCAAGCAGATGGAGGAAGAAAAAGGAAGAATTCATGTGGTCTACAAGAGATCTGCGGTGGAGCAGCCTTCTAGAGATGTGTCTGAAGACTTCTACTACAGGGGTAGGCATCTTAACAAGGCTTAATAATTAAATACATATTTAAGGAATGATTAAAAAATTTTTAACACCAGTCAAGAGAACTTGCTTAACATATGCTCTTGTGAAATGTCAAAGCTGAATAGGGATTTCTATTGTAATCAAGGTCAGCTTTTCATTTCACGAGTTGGCTGTATTCTGTGCCAGTGAGTCATTACATGCAGGTATACTTTTCATGATTTCTTTTAAAAGTTGTCCACTAAAACTATGGTCTTTTAGTCCATCTGGTGCGGGAGAATTGTCTGTATTTTGTCAATCATGTTATAAATAAATGCTGATTGGCCAGGCAGGAAATATAGGTGGGAAAACCAGACAGGAAGTAGAAATGATGTAATAAGAACAGGAGAATTCTAGAAAGGAGGAAGTTGATTCCTCCCACTCCTGCCCAGACCACCGAAGCAACAGGATGTGAGCTGCCAGTTAACAAAAGGTACTGAGCCACCTGGCTAACATAGATCAGAAATGGGTTAATCAAGATGTGAGAGTTAGCAAGTGAGAGGCTAGAACGAATGGGCCAATCAGCTTTATAATTTATGGAGACCTATGTGTGATTTTCTTTAGGGCTAAACAATATTGGGGTAAAGGGTGGGGCAGAAACACAAACAAGCCAGCCCTCATGTTATACCCATCTTAAAGTTTGCAATTATTTATTCTTTACAGAAATATTTAAATTTGCACTATTTGTGTCATTGCTGAGGTTCATAAGTAAAATGTATTAATACAGTGAAGTTATGTTTTAAGACCAAACTGATAGCTGCTTGACTTGGAAGTCTATTTAGCACAACACAAACGAACAAACAAACGAATAAATAATCTTTTCTGGTTTGGTAGAGAAATAAGTTAAGTTCTTCAGCAGAATTTATTTTTAAATAGATTGAAAATCTAAACCTTATGGCCCCTGAAGTTTTTCTGATTTTGTTGGTGTAATGAAACCTGAACATAGGTTATAACAACAGAAGACTTTAGCCAATATCTGCAAATGAGAACAGACCCTCCAATCTGGACCTGGTTACTCTCCTCCAAGCTAAACCTGATTACTTCCTTCCAAGCTGGACCTCATTACTCTCTTCCAATCTGAACCCCGTCACTCCCTTCCAAGCTGAACCCCGTCACGCTTTCCAAGCTGGACCTCACCACTCCCTTCCAGTTCTCCATGGCACCAATTTCTGTAAATGTTAGTCCCAGTGCCTTTCATTGGTATAATATTTACAGGAGGGAAATCTTACTAATGTTTTAATAAGAAAATTTCAGGATCTGTTGTGTTTAGTAGAATAGAAATGGACTGAGAGTGGATCCTGTATGTAACACTTACCTAAGCATTCACAAGGCCCTGGGTTTGTTTCCCAGAAACACACACACACCGGGGTGGGGGGGGGGAGATAAGTTGTTTCTGGCAGTTATTGGAAGTATTAGTCCTGGCAGCAGCAGCAGCACACCCAGATTATGTTAAAGTTCATAACAATACACACATTGGAGGCTGACTTCCTTAATCATGAGCAGAAGCTTGCCCTATAGTGAAAGTAGACCACGGGCTAAGGTGACCCACTCAGGAGAGGGCTGCAGGGGCCATGGGAGGAGGTAAAACAGTTTGTTTCTTCTCTCTCAGTTAACTCAGTACCTGTACCAGGATGTCCCAAGATAAAGCTTAACATGAAATCAATGCATTTTATTTTCATATTTATGGTGCTCTGATGTAGCTACTGGTGATATCAGCTGATCTATTCTTAAGTATAGCTAACTATTTGTGTCAGAAATTTAACTTTCTTCCCTAGGACAAGAAGAGATCAGATTCACAAATTTAAACACCAGATTATATCTTTTCAATTCTCTTCCTGTCAAATGACTAGAGGGGTCAGTATTTCTTATAGGTGAAATGTAGTCTGCGTATACTTTAGGAATGTATTTTTATGACATATATCATTTAAAATGTACTGAGTTAGAAAGGTATACTGTCCAAATATCTTTACTTGCAAGTGTTCATTGCAAAGAGTCATTGGTCTGGTTCAGGGCCTCTGGTTTCTACTACACTACAGATGCTGGGCTCTCTCTGGAACTCCTCTTGGTTATTTTGTTGTTGTCCTGTGTTGCACAGATCCTGCAGCTTAGGGTCTGTGGTTAGGTCCCTTCACGTGCAGCAAATCATAGATGGGGTGGATGTTGGGCAGGCCAAGTCATAACCCTGGTTCTGGGCCTGGGTATCTGCAGGGTTAGTCTGCCTGCCAGTTCTTCCCTAACCTTACCACCAGGGCGAGTTCTCCAGCATTGCCCTGGTTAATCTAGCATTGCCCTGGCGAGGAGCTTAGCTTTGTAATTACAGATTACAAATGAGATCTCCAAGTCTGTGGGACTGGCACATGAAGACATAAATTCAGATTTCCACTGCCCAAATCAAAACTGAGCATGGTGGTATGTGCTTATAACCCTTTGCTGGTAAAATGGAGACAGGTGGATCTTGAACACTCACCAGCTAGCCTGCCCAGCCAAAATGGTCAGCTCCCGGTTCAATGAAAAACCCTATGTCAAAAATGAAGGTGGAGAGTAATAGAGGAAGATATCCAAAGCTGTGCCCTGGCCCCACGCACAGGCAAGCATCACTTCCCCCCACAACCTCCCGACACAAGCACAGTTAGAGACCTTCAGGACTATAACTTTGTCATTGTGAGTTATGGTCAGTGAAGAGTTGGCAGTTTGGGTAAAGTATAGCTCTTCCTGTCCCTGTCAGGGGGTGTACTGTCCTTCTAGTTAGCAATAAACAAGAACTTGGCACACTTGTGATAGAGACGCTTCTCTATGTCATCATGACCCTCTGTGTCATCACGTGGGGAAGTTTCGTTTGCTTCTCTCTAGTCATGGCTACAGGACTGGAAAACCACCCTTTTTTGGCATCTCTAGTCTGTACAAAAGGATTTTCTGTCTTCTTCTGTTTATGGAATTGATAATTATATATGAATTAAAAATTAACCCCCCACTATTAAGTCATTTGTCTAAACTCAGATTTAAAACACACCACACACACACACACACACACACACACACACACCCCTGACCATCCCTAAAGACTGCTCACACTGTTATCATCAGAGATTTGCTTCAGGCAGTCTATGGGGGATGGGTGTGCTTGCATGGCATCATTCAGCTTTTCATATTTTGTATTGAGTCTTTAGGCCCTTAGGCTTCTCTCCTCACATTACGAGCTATTCATTCACTGGTAGCTCTGTGTTAGAGTAATTTTTGTGATTACTTCCTACCAGTGGGAAGCAAGGACTCGTAAGCCTTTATCTCCTAGCTTCCTTTCAGAGTTTTTCATTTTTCTACAGGAACCGAAGTGCTTGCGTTGCTGGTGTGGTTGTCATGGTGCCCTGAAGGAGTGTCTTTGTCGCAGGTGGGAAACATGGAGTAGTCAGAAATGATTTAGGAGTTGCTCCTGGTTACTGGGGAGTGAAACTACAGAAGAAGCAGGAGTAATGGAAAGTCTTAGCCTTGGTGATGCTAGGGACTGGGTAGATGCCGAGTCCTCTTTGAATTTAGGCATGTGAATAGGTGCCCTAACCTTTTGCTTTGGGAGAGTCTCATGACCTGTACATGGATCAAAGAGAATCTTTGATGGGCTTTGTAAAAGGAAAATATGAAATGATAGAAATTCATTTTAGCAGATAATTTTATTTGTAAATGATGCATGGAAGATATTACTGTAATATGAGGATATGCCATTGAGCAAGCATTCCTTTCAATAGTGTTAGATTATAAATTTTCACAGCTAGTTTATAATCTAAACTGAGATCATTTGTTCAGCTACTTCTATTGAATTCATATGAAAATGCTATTTGCGTATGTGGGATTTCTTTAGTATATTTCAGTCTGTTTATAATAATTACAAAGAGAATGAATTTGGTATGGAGATTGTCTTATTCCATGAAGTAATCAGAAAGTAGAGTGAAGCAATAGTGAAAACAATAGTAAAGGGATTTAAACATGCAAACATGAACAATAATAATTGGTTTTAAATATTTAACTGCTAAGTTGTGAGTGTTAACAATATACTTGCTATGTTTTCCAAGTTTGGTCTCACTTTCAGAACTCCTGTGTGCTTTTTCCATGTGCCATGTTTTTTTTTTTTTTTTTGTCTTTGTCCTGAATGATCCCCTTATAAGATATGTGGTTCTTAAAAACATATTTATTTATTTTTGAAATGAAACAGTTCACAAATTTCCATGTCATCCTTGCTTGGGGAGCCATGCTAATCTCTNTTTTTTTTTTTTTTTTTGTCTTTGTCCTGAATGATCCCCTTATAAGATATGTGGTTCTTAAAAACATATTTATTTATTTTTGAAAATTACTGTTTTCTTGGTGTTTCATACTGTTTGATATCTGTACTTATAAAATGCCATCAAACAGGCTTCTAGTGACAAGAACTTGGAATATTAGAGTTTACATTTATCTTTTAAACCCTTAAGCTATTAATTCCCAATTTTGGATGACATGTAGGCAAAGCAAGCATGGGGTTTTGATGGTGTTGTCTGTTGTCCTTCCTCTTATCTAACCGGCAACCTTCATGGAAGTCACTGTCAGTATTATTGATTGGCTTCTAAGAAGTAGAGTTCAGTTAAGCAGGTTGGAAACAAAATATGTTGCTCTGGGCTCTTGTCAATGTCCCTTTGTCTTTTGTAACTACCCAGCATTTGAGAGAAGCATGAGTTTGGTTCAGGTAGTGTTGTCATGATCTTTGTTTCCTGGACCACGTTCCATCCCTTACCAGCATCTTTCCTTAAATTAATGGAGAAATATTCTGTAAGACTGTTGTCAGTTCAGACTTAGACCAATAGGCATGCCTGGTATATATGAAGATTATATTTATACTCTTGTAATTTGAGTCATGGATATTATACAAAATATAACAGTGGCTATTTTGATTCTTTTTTTATTAAAAATTCCATATTTCATGAGTTGTAAAAATCTTTCTTAGTTATTGTTCAGCTCACCATGGTGTGCACAAGACTCAACTCAATTCTTTCTGTTGTAATCTTGTGACAGTTACGATAAAACAACACAGGTAACCAAAATTAGCTTCATGTTTTGCATCTGGGGAACTCAGTAAATGGGAAATGAAGAGGTTAAGCTGTAAACAGAGATTGTGCTTTAGTTTCCTGGCCACCAAGACCCAGATAATCACACAGAAACTATATAAGTTACAACACTGTTTTGCCAATAACTTAGGCGTATTCCTAGCTATCCCTTACATCTTAAATAACCCATTATATTAATCTGTGTATCACCACGATACTGTGGCCTACCAGTAAGGTTCCATTGTCTTTCTCCTTTGGCAGCTACATGGCTTCCCTCTGACACTGCCTTCTTTCTCTGTCCATTAAATTTAGTTTTCCCACCTCGCTAATATTCTGCTCTGCCATAGGCCAAGGTACCTTCTTTATTAACCAGTGGTAATAAAACATATTCACAGAATACAGAGGGGAATCCCACATCATTAAGCAATATCAGTAATAAAGTGGACATAAGTTTTAATTAATAGAGTGATGACAGTGGACGCAGTGTAGCCAAGTACTTAAGATCGCTGCTGCTTTGACTCCTGCCGTGATGCCTCTAAACTGTGAGCTGAAACAAACCATTTCTCCCCTCAGTTGCTTTTGTCAGGATATTTTTTCATCCCCATGTCAGGAGAAGAAACTAAGTCTGTCCCACATTCCAGTGTTGGCTTTTGCCATCTTTCTTCCTTGGTGCCCATCTAAGAAATCATTGCAAGACCATGAGCCTTTCCCCTATACTTTCTTCTACCAGTTTACAAGTCCATGTCTGATGTTCAAGTCTTTGGTACTTTCTGCCAGCCATTTAGGTCCTCTGTGGTTCATAGAAACTTTAGGATTGCTTTTATTATTTCCTTTTTAAAATGCTATTTGACCTTTGATAGGGATTGTATGGGATCGGTAGCTTGTCTTCTGTGTGTGAATATTTTCATATTTACTCTCTGAGTGAGTAAACGCTTACAGGGATCACAGATCCTACCTGATGTCCTCAGTCATTAAGAAGACCATAGACTTCAGTTTCCCAATGTCTTTAGGTTGGCTTCATAATTTAATCCTTCATAACTATTATTTTCTTTAGTAATTACCATATGGAAACCCCATTTTTTCCAAGTTCCATAGAATTTTACCACTTGATCATTTTGCACAATGTATGTTGATTATAATTATCCTCCCCAACTTTTCCCAGATCTACTGGGCCTCATTTGTGGCTGTGCTTGCTGCCGCGCACCACGCCCCTGTGTCTGCGCTGTGTGCGCTGGCACCCAGTTCGCGAGCTTCGGGCAAGGGGGCTGGAGGTTAAAATACACAGACACACACAGACAGAGAGACAGCAACAAAAGTCATCCTTGAATTCCCTAAGAATACCTTCTTTAATGTGTTCAGTGGCAGATTATATAGAGATAGCCACACCCCAGCCAAACCCACCAGAAATCACTCTCCTCCCATCAGGTGTCTTTAGCTGTTGGCTCTACCTTCAGCTTTCCAACATGATGGAGGTTTGTTCACCAGCTCTGGGAGCCATGCTCACCCACCCAACTCTGGGAAGCAGCAGCAGGTCCATGCTGCCACCAAGCAACTTGTAGCACGCTGCCCATAAACCTTTTTTGTCCGTATGAGTAAAAGCTAAATCTACCATGCAGCCACGCAGCATGCTGAGTGTTTTGGAGATGCCTCTCAGTACTGTGGCAGGAATCCACCATGCTGTGCTCAAACCCGTTTTTATGATTTTTTTAGGTCTGATGTGGAAACTCGAGAGTCCCTTGTTGGTACCCTAAATGTAGCTGGAGATTTTTCTCCGTCCCACCTGGTCCACTGGACCTGTTTCTGTCCTGCCTGCTGGCTTCCTCAGCTGCTTATAAAATAATCATTCAGAGGCTTTATATTAATTATAATTATTTGCCTGATGAATTGGCCTTTTTACTGGCTAGCTCTACATATAAATTAACCCATTTTTAATAATCTGTGTATCACAATGTGTCCTATGGCTTACTGGCAATTTCTCTGGCATCTTTCTCCTTGGGTGACTGCTGGTGTCTCCCTGACTCCACCTTCTTTTCTCCCTGTTTCTCAGTTGGGATTTCCTATCTAGCTATATTCTGCCATAGGAAAAAGTAGCTTCTTTATTAACCAATGGTAATAGTGCATATTTACAGTATACGAGGGGCATCCCACATGAGCTCCTAACAATTTTTAACATAATTTTAAAAGGTACATGGAGATACTCATAGCTCAATTCAACTAGATGTAAGTATAATCTGTGAATGATAGGTAAACATGTTTGCTGTAGTGTATTTCACCCAAAGTACATGCACTAACTAGCTTGGTAAAGTTTTAACTTACCAAACTCTCAGTTTCCTCATTTGTATGCAGGAAAAAATAATAGTGCATATTTCAAAGCCCTAAAATAAAACACCAAAATAAAGAACCACTTTTAAATTCCTTGTACTTACTAAGTGCTCAATTTTAAGTTAACTCTTACTATTTTTAGTATGACTATATCTTCTCATAAATAAGAGAATGCTATCTATTGTGGCAGGTGACTGACTCCATGGTGCAGGAAACTGTGGCTGAAGGTTAAACCAGTAACTGTAGTTACTGGTTTCTCATATCTCAACTGACTTGGAAGCAAGGCACAGAATAAGAAAGGGGATTGGGCTATGTAGACCTCAAAGCCAATCCTTCAAAGAGCCACCTTCTCCAGCAAAGTGCTACCTCCCAATGGGCACACAGCCTAATAAAGCAGGGCCACTAGCTTGTGACCAAGTGTTCAAGCACACAAACCTGTGGGATGGTTCATTTCCTGTCCTTTGTACTGCAGTGGGCCTCTAGTTATTCTCCTACCCCTGAACCTGTTTGTCTTGGCCCTGTTTAAGGTGGGAAGTTTTATATATATATGGTTGTTTATTCCTACTATGTGTATATGAACACATACTGATGAACTGCTATCATTTCTACATTGTAGAACATGCAGACTACACATTACAGAACATACCCAAGCATAGGTATTGTAATGAATACAATAAACGGAAGTATATAAAGTCACATAATTTCTCTCTGTTCTGGTAGATGTTTTTAAGCATGCTTATACTGTAAGAAGTCTGCTTTGGAGACCGCTCTGTAGTGATCATTGTAAACTGCGATACACTGTATGCCATCATCTAGGCTGAAATTCCTTGTTGAATAAAATATGAATTTTTTAAAATATGAATTCTTCTTTTAATTCATGTCCCACCTTACCCCCAATGTTTCCTATCTTAGTATTCTTTAGTGATTCTCATTTCCTATTTGCTAGTCTTTATTTTGGGTTTGCTTAACTAAACTGTCTCCTAAAATTCTTTCATTCAGACTTAAGTTTTCTCATTGTACCTATTAGACGGTTTATTTTTATGCAATAGAATGTATCCTTACTTTTCCTGGAAAACGCTAGACACTTTCCGTGAAAAAGGAGCAACTATCTGCCTTAGATTTGGTAGAATCTGAAAGAGGAAGATAATGTACCTGAATCCCTAGTTATGATATGGTTTGTCTATTTTAGTTTGTGGTCACCTTTTATTTTTCTTTTAAGATTTCTTTATTTTTATTTTATGTTACTGCCTGTGTGTGTATGCACTATGTGTATGTTCTGCCTGAGAAAGCCAAGAGAGGGCATCAGATATTCTGAAAGTAGAGTGGTAGAAAATTTATAGGTGCCCTGTGGGTACTGGGACTAGAACCTGGGTCCTCTGCAAGAACAACAAGCTGCCTCTTCAGGCTCTGACCTTTTATTTTCCCTAACTATATAATATTCTTTGGAAAAAAAATTTTCCCTGAAGTTTCTTACTTAGAATAGTTTGAAGGAAGTCACTTTTTAATATGCAACATTGTATATAATTGATGAAGAATATACTATAAATCAGGTTGTGAGAGAAAATTATAGTGTTTTCAGATGGTTAAATCTCTTAAGGGAAGTCACTGCTCTACATAAACACTTTCCAACAGGGCTTGAATAGATGTTTGATTTTGCACTGAATTGTGTTTTTTGAAGAAAGCTTTCCTAGTGTCAGAAGGCCTCTGTTTTATGTAGGTAGTTTCCTAATACGTACATAATTGAGTCCATTATAAAAACTGTTGGAGACTTAACTGTCCTCAAATTATTGATGTTTATGAATAATTCAGTTTGCTTCTACAAACCATGTTTATACATATATTCAGGATTATGGGGTGGTAAGTTGCTGCTATTCATATAATGACATTTTTCTTACCAAATTGTTGGAAGGAAAATAACAAGAATATTAATTGAATAGCATACCTGCTCCTCATTAAAAAACAAACAAAAAACCCGTATGATCCTTTGTTCCCACTTTAAGTTTATGAATAAACCACTCCAGTCTGGCACAGCGTTACTGACTCTCTCTGAACTCAGAGGCAATGTTTAGTGAGAGTGGAACATGTTCTGCGAGGATTTCCTCTTAGTAATTTAGAAGATAAAGAAAAAACACACTGCCCCTTGCAATGAATAGGAGCCTGAGGTGTTTGGAAGTTTCGGAAGTTTGCGCTGCAGCTATGGTAATGCCTTGAGCAAAGAGGTCTTCATTATCTCAGCTCACAGAGCTCTTGGGAGGCGATGACATCATTGTGGCTTCTCTCACCTCAGAATCCAGGCAGGAGACACTTAGCGTCTTTGTCAGACGTGTGTAGAAAAGAAGGCACAAAGAAAGAGCTTCCCGCAGAGTCGGGGGAGGCTTCGCGACTCCTTCTTGGTTCTTTGTGAAAGCCCATGACTGGACTTGTAGAAGATTAACCCCCTTCACGTTTCTGCAAAAACATTAAATAGATGCAAAGCAGCTCCGCCACTTTCTTCCTCTCTGGGAGCTCAGTATTCTGGTGGGCAGTGAATTATTTTCAATTCCCTCAGAGAGGCCATGGCAGTCAATGGGAGCTGTGAATGAGGGCCCTCTGAAGGGCTTGGTTGTGGGTTTTCACCGTTCTTTATAGCATTATTCCTCTGAAAGAGACCCCTCTAAGAGTGGGGTCAGCCTAGAGACCTTTATAGTGCGTGAAGTAATCCATCCTTTAATCTCTTCCTTCCTGTGGGAAAATCAGCACAGATAAAAAAAAACAAAAAGATGGGGGGTGAGCTCATATTTACAGTCTGTTTGGCCATTTATTTTCCATTTTCTTTTTTTTGAGTTCTCTCTATAATTGTGGTATACTTCCTAATTTGGTTTTTTAATAAAGAAGAAACTCTGAAAAAAACTTAATTTTGTGCTCATACTTTTATCTAGTTTCTGATAACTTTTCTAGTATGTCATCAATCTAGCAAATGTTGCTTATCGAAGAAAATAGTACTTATCAGTTTATTATTGCAGTTTGGTATCTCCTATGCCATTTCCATATTTTATTTAGATATTCTGTATGTGTAATGATTATGTGTTTTTACATAGAGATCAAGATGCTGTGTTGGAGGGCAGCAGGATTTATTTAATGACAAAATCAATACTGAGAAGACAAATGATAGCTTGCTTTGGAGTTGCTCTAGTAATTAGGAGATGAGATGGCGAGACAAAGCTTGTTTATCTGTTTGTTGACTTACTTTTCAAACAGGGTCTCCCATTGCAGCTGAGGCAGTCTTGAGCTCTCTTCCATCCTCTTGCCTCTGTTCTGCTATATTACAGGTGTAAGCTACCTTACCTGCCTGAGAAGACTTCTATTTACTTTTAATTTATGATTTTCAAAATCTACATTTGCATTCTCATGCCACATTTATTTAAAAAGCCTTTGAGGTATATGAGTCTAAGAAAAGTAGGTAACGTCTCACTTCAGGTTCTTATGTGTTGCCAGTTTGGCACTGGCATCTATAAAGATCCCCTCTCATAGCAGGTTCCAGGAGCAGTTTAAAAACTTGAGGTTACAGCCAGGCAATGGCAGTTCACACCTTTAATCCCAGAACTCAGGAGGCAGAGGCAGGTGGATCTCTGAGGCCAGCCAGGTCTACTAAGCAAATTCCAGGACAGCCAGGGCTGTTATGCAGAGAAACTGTCTCAAAACAAAACAACAACAACAAAAACAGAAACAATCAAACCCTTGTGTTCACAAAGGGGGAAAAAAAGGGAAGAAATAGCAACTAATATTTTATTGTAAAACATAATTGACAGAAAGATATATTTTACATACAATTTTCATAAGGTATAGAGTAAAAAGTCCTTTATAGTTTCTAGTTATTGGAACTGAAAGTTAGCTGCCTCTGATTGTCTTTGAAGCAGTATAGGGTATAAGATAGAAAGACAGACAGACAGACAGACAGACAGACAGACAGACAGAGAGACAGAGAGACAGAGACAGAGAAAGAATTGAAGGAAGAAGTATGGTAGTCTTAGGAAAAGAAGTGAATGAAAAGAATCCGATTCCTTTATCAACATGTGTTGAAATAGGAGCGGCGGCAGGGCTGCGTCCCCGGCACCCGGCCGCCCCCATGGCTAGCTTATGCCCAGAAATAATTACACGGAAACTGTATTCTTTCAAACACTGCCTGGCCCGGCTAGTTCCAGTTTCTTATTGGCTAGCTCTTACATATTGTTCTAACCCATTTCTAATATTCTGTGTAGCCCATGAGTTGGCTTACCAGTGAGGATCTTAACCTGCGTCTGTCTGGAGCGGGAGAATCATGGCGACTCTTCCTCTAACCTTCTTTCTCCCAGAATTCTCTTCTGTATACTCCGCCTACCTAATTTTCTATCCAATAAAATGGGCCAAGGCAGTTTCTTTATTAGTAAGAAATCATTCCCACATCAAACATGACCTCCTTTCTGTTCTTTTCCCCGCTTAGAACTGAACTAGGAGAAAATGAATAGTATGCTAGCAGCCTCCCCCATGCCTTACCACCTGATTTAGGGGCAGGTAAACCAGGAAAACTATCAACACACCATGAAACCATGAAGTTTTAGACAAAACAATGCTACCTACAGTGCAATGCAGTCTCCTTACTTTGGATTAAGGATGTATTTTTCTTTTAATATGTAAAGCATAGGAAGCAGTCTGTGTCCCTTCATTAAATCACCTGGGCCACCCCAGGGAGAAAGGGGCAAGGAGACTTGCTGTCATTTGTCAGGAGGCTGGGGAAAGCAGCCTGGGCTGTAGAAGCCTGCAGACTCAGCTGAAGCTGCCTGTCTCCAGAGGGACTTAGGAAATCGAAGCCTGGTAGTACAGAGTACTGGATGTTGGTCTCCAGGAGTTAAGGACTAGCAGTTTGGGTTCACTTACACTCAGCCAATAGCTGTGAGAACCCAGGGCACCTTTCTCTTTCGTGCTTGTAGCCACTATGCTGATGGAAATGTTAGGTCTGGGGATTTTTAGTTTCTTTTAGAGAAGTGGCCTCGGTATGTAGCTGAGGATGACCTTGAAGCTCTGATATTACAGATTCTAGGTCCCAAGTGCTGGGATGACAAGCATGTCCTACCACTACTGGTAAATACTATGCTGGGAAGCTAACCCAGGGTTTTCTGTGTTCTACCAGCTGAGCTACACTCCGTGCCCAGCTTGCAAACTTTTTGAAGCCTCTTTGTACTCATTACATCCTAGATAGTGTATTTTCAAAGTGGAGGCATGAGGGTACTTTTTTTTTGTATGTGTGTAAAAATAAGGTGTTGGCTGTCATGTTTTAAAGGGATCTTTCAAGTCATGAAAACTAGGACGGAATTCATCTTGTTTTGCAACAGCACTTTATTTGAAATTCTTACTTGCTTTCTCTATTTCAGTAAGGGCATCATGAGCTTCAGTTTCCTCTCAGCTGTGCACACAGTTTGTTGCTGGTCTTCTGTTGTATGAGGCCACTTGTTCATTTCCCGGCCACCCAGACTCTAGAAATAATCACACAGAAACTATATTATTTGAAACACTGTTTGCCCAATTACTCTAGTATATTATAGCAAGCTCTTACATATTAAATTGACCCCATTTCTAGTATTTTATATTTTACTATGAGGCTCATGACCTACTGGCAAGGTTCCAGCTGGTGGCTCGCATCTTTCTCCTCTGGTGACTTCATGACTCTTCTCTGACTCTGCCTTTTTTTCCCCCCAGCATTCAGTTTAGTTTTCCCCACCTAGCTCCACTCTGCCCTATCAGGCCAAGTCAGTTCATTGATTCATTAACCAATAAAAGCAACACATAGACAGAAGGATCTCCCATATCAGTCTTCTTTGTAGGTGCCAACACTATTTCCAATGGTGCAGCTTAAGTCCCCCCTTCAAATTGCATCTGCAGAGCTCAGGTCCCTGCTTTAAACATCCATCACTTTCCAACCTCCTGCCCAGCCTCTCCTCGTCCTGGTCCCAGGTGTGATCTGGAGCCACCCCAGCTGGCAATCTTCCATGTCACTCACTGTCTACACTGACATTTCATTCTCTGGAAGTTCAGCTTTCCATGTAGTGCACGCTTCATGGAACGAAACGCTTTTTCCTCCATTCGGCCTTCCCTTTCTTGATGCAGGGCTTCACTCTGGCCATTCTGCAGTAGAAAAGACAGTGCAAAACCTGAATATAAGCCCCACTTGACATCGTAGAAGGGAACGGTCTCGTGGGAGAGGTTTTTATTCAGTGATGGTCCCATGACTGAATGCAGTACCCTAGATGTCTGAAGAACAGATAAAGAGAAGCCACCATAGAAAGAATCTCCTGGCTTGGACTGTAGTCTCTGGTAGCATAATTTTCTAAGTTCGGTGGCTCCTGGGGAGCTCATAGTGACACTTCATTGCCCAGGACATAAAAAGGAACTTTAAACATTTAGCCAGAATTTCTTTATCAACCCCCTCCCCCGTGTGTGTGTGTGTGTGTGTGTGTGTGTGTGTGTGTGTGTGTGTGTGAGAGAGAGAGAGAGAGAGAGAGAGAGAGAGAGGCAGAGAGAGAGAGAGGCAGTGAGGGGGAGGGGAGGGAGAGGGAGAGGGAGTAACTGGCCATGACTATGAACATGCCATGATTGCTTGCATACCTATTATATGGGCACATGTGCCATAGCCTATGTGTGAAAGTCAGAGTCCATCCGCCTGGAATATTGATCCTTATGTCCCATCTTGCTTGAGGCAGGGTCCCTTGCTCAGATGCCAGGCGAGCCGGCCTGTGAGCTGGGACTTCTCCCGTCTCCACCTTCCACCTCACCATGGATACTCTGGGAATACAGATGTCCACTAAAGTACTCATCTTTATACTTCTGAGGATTTAAACTTAACATCTTCACACATACACTGATTTTTTTTATTCTGAACTGAAGTTATGGAAAAGAAGCCACATGGTGCATTGAACTTTCTGCAAAAGTTGAGTAGCCGATTATAATTTCAGCAATTGTGGAAAAGGTTGAAATGTTCCAAGCCCAAAGCCTAATTACAAGGTATCTTGGGCTGTCTTCCTCCCTTCCCCTTGAGTAGTCACTAGGTCTTCACCTCCATGTGTGGCCTAACCTCTTTGCAGCTATTAGGTAAGTCTTTTTGGAATGGATACTTTTCCACCATCACAGAAGTAAGAATGTTGTTGGATAGCATCTGAGGCTATAGCAGGGATTTCCACACTTGTGATGCCTGAAACCCTACATTAGGAAAGCATGTGGATTTGAGCCTTTTCCTTTTCAGTGGGCTGAGATGCTGTGCACAGGCCTGACAGCCTGAGTTCAATCCCCGAATCCCAGAAGGTGACAGGAAAGAACTAGTAGCCAAAAGATGCCCTCTGATGCCCACAGACAGACCCATGGTGTGTGTGCACCTGCAGACACAGGTGCAGGCACACACACATACCAAAATAAAGTAAATAAGCAAACCAACAAAATCTAAATTCACATG